CATGTCAGCAACATTGACATACACTCCATGTTCATAGACACACTTCGTGAAATCTGCTTCGATCAAGAAGCTACCTATTATCTTACTCAAAGCCATCAGGGCCTGCTTCAAGCCATAAAGAGCCTTCATAAATACGTACACCTTTAACTCATGCCCTTTAATTTTAAATCCTGGTGGTTAACTGGCATAAACTTCTTCTTCTAAAGGCCAATTCATAAATGTTGGTTTTACATCTAACTGATGTATCTTTCATCCTCTATATGTTATCGTTGACACCATAATCCTGGTTGTCTCCAACCTTTCAATAGGTGCATAGACTTCATCTAAATCAATACCAATTTTGGTCAGAAACCTCTTACCACTAGTCTTTCCTTATGCTTGGAAGTCTCACCATTTGGCCTTCGTTCCAGCTTGTAAATCCATTTCACTTCAACTGGCTTCTTGCTAGCTCTTTCAACAAATTCCCAGGTCTTGTTCTTCTTGATTTCCATGAGTTCTTCTTTCATGTCTTCACACCAATTCAAATTATTCATCGCTTGATCTGAATTAATTGGTTTTGCTTCAGCCATCATCACCGCTTCTTCTATTAAGTCACCATTTACATTGACTGCTTGATCTAGAAATCTCTCATATCCAGCTAGCCTTGTCAACTCAATTCTTTTTCTAATCGATCTTTTTACATTCGTTCCTAGTGGTTCTTCATTTAGATTGGTTGTGACTTCAGTTTGTTTGTCTTCTTCTTCTTCAAGCACAATTGATATTGTTTCTTCCATATGTCGACCCAACTTCTGAGTCCACTTCCACCATTTGCTTTCATCAACTAGAGTATCTCTACTTATCACTACTTTATCATTGTTTTTCGAATATAACTTGTATGCACCAGCCAAATGATAACCTATGAGCTCCATGGTCTTACTTTGATCATCTAGCTTCTTCCTCAATTGTTTAGGAACATGTTTGAAACATATTGATCCAAAACTCTAAGATGACTGACATTTGGCTTATGTCCTGTTCAAGCCTCATAAGGTGTCTTCTCGACCATCTTCTTTGTTGGAAAGATGTTTAGAATGTATATTATTGTCGAAGTCGTTTCAACCTAAAATATCTTTGGCATATCTTTAGCTTTCAACATGCTCCTCATTATGTTCAGTATACTTTTGTTCTTTCTTTTAGCTATACCATTGTGATGAGGTGTATAGGATGCAATGACCTCGTGTTCTATACCTTTCTCATTGCAAAACCTAGCAAATTCTGGAGAAGTGATTTCACCCATCCATCAGTTTTATGTTTCTTCAACTTATATCCTCTTTGCTTCTCAACATGCAACTTAAACTTTTTGAGTTGTGTGAATACCTCAATCTTCCTTTAAATAAGGTAAATCCACATATATCTGGTGAAATCATCTATGAAAGTTAGGAAATAACAGTTACCTTCATTCGACCTTGCTTCAAAAGGTCCACACACATCATAGTGAACTAGCTCCAAATTTTCCTTCGACCTCATAGGCAAGTCGTGCTTGAATTCTTTCCTAGCCTGCTTTGATCTGCAACATTCGTCACACACTAGACTTGGTTCTTTCACCTGAGGTGATCCATATACCATCTTCTTATGGTTGAGCATTCCTAGACTTATAAAGTTTATATGTCCATACTTGTAATGCCATAGCCAATTCTTGTCTTCTTCTGCAGTCGAAGCAAGACACTTGTGATCAACTGTGTTGATCTCTACCTTGAAGGTTTTGTTGTCTGCCAATGGTGCCTTCAAAATCAACCTCTCATCACCATCATACACCTTCATTTGATACTTTTCAAGCTTCATGTTGTAGCCTTTGGAAAGTAATTGACCTATGTTTATCAAGTTACTTGTCATTGAAGGTGCATACAACACATAAGTGGCGTTGGCTTTTCACCATCCTTTCTCACCATAAATATGTTTCCTTTTGCACCTGATGTGATGTGTATGTCATCTGCAAACGTTATCACTTTTTAACTGATTCATCTAATTTGGTGAACCAGTTTTTATTACCAGTCATGTGGTTACAACATCCTGAGTCAAGGTACCACATATTGGTTTGCTCAGTGTTCAACTAAGTGTTGGTCATAAGTAGCACATCATCAGAATCACTATCTTTAGCATGTGCATACTGCACTTCATTGATATAATTTGCTCGTGCTTCCTTTTTTTTCTTTGACAGTCTCGAGCATAATAGCCAAATCCTTTACAATTGTAATATTGCACCTCTTTCATGTTAGCTTTCTTCCCATAATAGTTGTTCCCCGTGCCTTTCTTGGTTGAATCATAGTGATTCTTTGAATTATTGTTTGAGTTCTCATCATTAGCAAGACTTTTTCCCTGCTTCGCTTGCTCTTTCCCAGATTTCTTGGTGAATCTTTCTTGCAGTGCCTATTCAGCCACCTTTTTCCTTTCTAAATTTCTCTGCTTCAGCCTCATCTCATGAGCCTCCAGTGAAGCTTGAAGTTCTTCCAACTTCATCTCAACTAGGTTCTTGGACTCTTCAATAGACACAAAAATGTAATCAAAATTTACAGTCTAAGATCTCAACACCTTCTCAATCTTCTACAATTTGTTGATTGATATACCACACACCTTCATCTGGTTCGTTAACAGCACCACACATGAAAAACATTTCGAGACTGATTCATCTTCCTTCATCTGAGTCATCTCGAATTGCTTTCTCAACATCTGCAACTTCACCCTTTTTAGTTTTTCATCTCCTCTGTATAAGTTCTTTAACTTGTCTCAGGCTTCTTTAGTCGGTTCTTCTTCAATAATCTTCACAAACATGTTAGGATCCTCACACTGGTGAATCAAGAATAGAGCTTTTACATCTTTCTTCCTTTTATCCTCGTGCAGCCTTATATTCATCATCCGCATTCGTTTTCAATGCAGGTACTCCATCATTCATGATTTCAGACATATCTTAAAATCTGAAGATGACTTTTATTTGTGCAACCTACATCTCGTAGTTCTCACCTTTGAAAACTGGTAGATTAGTTGAAAATTTCGTTGATGTTGTGTTTCTGTTTATCATTACAGATTCTCTCTGAATCGCAACCTGGACTCAGTGATACCAATTTATTATGACAAAAGATTTTCAAAAAAGATGAGAGAATAAGAAGAAGGAGAAGAGAGAAAAGAGAATAAGACTATACATGTTATACCTATTTATATGCACATACCCAAACTTACAACCCAAGTCCAATTACCACACAAACCTAAAACAAAGTATATTTTAAGTTTGACACAACAGAGAAATGTTATATTCGACCCTGTCGTCGAATACAGTAAACTCTTACTATTTCGACTAACTACTTTGACATAGTCACACACTAACTTTTCACAAAACATTGAATTAATACTTCTAACAACATTAACTACATTTAAAAATAATCTAAGTTATTAGTCGAAAACGGTAAACAATCGAAATGATAGCCAATCGATTATCATATAATTGAACTAAAAATACTAGAGTATGAATTAATCAAATTAGATCTAGAGAGTCCCATCAACGTCTTGAGGTGTCGTCATAGCAAAATTGTCTTACAATTCAACTTCTTATGACGTGATGTACCTCTATTATATGCATGAACATCGCACACTATAAGGAATGAAGCACCTCTCCTAGAACAACCCTTAATATATTTAAATCTCTATTTCACATTTCATCATTCAAGCAAGTAGTGTGTTTGATTTTGAATGGTACAACAAATGTACAGTTTCCTTGTACGAGGCTATACTGCATGTTAGGGGCCGTGGTTTTCGTTGGAAACAAAATCAGTTGGTAGCAAGCTACACCCCTCAATGAATATAAAATATATGCTTAGTAATTGACTATTTGTTTATTTAATCATATACCTAATCTCATGACCTAGTCACACTTGTTTTAAATTAATCAAAACCATATGGATTTAACTTTCAAAACAAAGAATGATGAGGGAGAGAGAAAGCTATGACTTGCACTAATCACTCACATGCAAAGCCTCGGAGACACAGCTTGATGTCCAACTCCCCTAACTTGGACAATTTTTTTTTGTTGTTTTTCTATTACATGCATGTGACATATATAGGAAAACAAAATAATGGATTATAGTATCCCATTATTCAACATTTTAAAGTTGTTGCTTGATGATATTAGCCTAGTTAAAGTGTTGTTTAACATATATAATTGGTAGATCTCGCATATTTAAAATTTAAGATTTAAAGTTTCATCATGTGAAACTCTTTTTTAGAAAAAAGAAGCTAGTTTTATTTTAGTAAAAGAATTGAATTTGATAATATTGTTGGATTTTGAAGAGAGTCTAAATTGTTAGTTCTATGTTTGTATGTGCGCCCATTTAATCAAAAATGCGGTAAAAGATCACATCAACACAAGCTCCAAAGACATTTTACAATTTTTACGTTTTACTGTATTGGGATGTAAAATTCCAGTGTGATGTGATTCGTAACGTGAATCTAAATAGACATTTAAGTGATCATCACATCAAACTCTAAACAAACATATAATAATTTGAACGATTTATCTCTATCAAAAAATCAAACTCTAAACAAACACATAAATAATTTGAACGATTTATCTCCATCAAAAATCTTGAATTATTAATAATATGAATCGCATCTATTATATATCATTTAATAACACACTCAATCGCCCTTAAATGTCATTGGTTAGTAAGAGATATATTGCAAGTAGCTTTTGAGTTTTGAGTTCTGTTTCAATTCTAATGACCTGACATAATCAAACTAACATAATTTTTTATTACAAAATAAGATTTAAACCTTTTAATATTGAGAATCTCAAGGTAAAAATCCTTCTATAAATTGGAGGCATTGCATCAATTCATATAGCAGGCTTAAGTTAGCCCAAAAATAAAGAGGGAACTAAATAGTCCAACTCCCTCATCTAACTATATACCTTTCAAAAACACAAAGCATATATAAACCAAACCTCATAAACAGAGACACCACCACCATATACTAATATGGATCAACCAAAGAAACCTAACAAGATCAGAGACATAGTTAGACTTCAACAAGTCCTTAAGAAATGGAGAAGAATAGCCAATGCTTCAAAAACAAGCAACAACAGTACCACTAGTAAGAGAATAAAGTTTCTTAAAAGAACACTTTCAATGTCCGAACGCGAAGGAGGAGGAGGATCGAGCGCGGTTCCAAAAGGGTACCTAGCAGTTTGTGTTGGTGTAGAACTTAACAGGTTTGTTATACCAACTGAGTATTTGACTCATAAAGCCTTTCATGTATTACTCAGAGAAGCAGAAGAAGAATTCGGATTCGAACAAACTGGTGTTCTGAGAATTCCTTGTGAAGTATCTGTGTTTGAGAGTATATTGAAGATGGTGGAAGGAAAAGATGGATTTTCTACTCAGAAATGTAGTTTTGGTATTGAAAAAATGATGGGATACTGTTCCTCAAACCAGCTTGGTTATTATCATCAACCTCATAGTCCTATGTGCAGATAGTCTGTCATTTGACAATTTTAACCATTTTTTTTTTAATCTTTTGCTAGCTATTTATGGAAGCCAATCTATATATGTATTAATTATATATGAGAAGCATACAACTTTTATTGTCCAAATCTTGTATTTTACAGCTTAATTGGAATTGGAAACACTCCTACTGTGTTTTTCTTTTGGAACCAGTCTGTCTCCGGTACGTAAAAGTTCATCGTAATACTCGTTCTCACGACAGAAACAATGACTCAGATGACACTAGTTCGACAAAAAACAAAGGAAACAAATATTAGTTCTCAAGAAAAGTACACATATATCTTAGAATTTAGGTTGAATCTAACTCAACCTTACAAAACTAACTTAATTGTTAAAAGCACTTAACAGAAAGCTTCAAAGGGAATTACTGGTTGAAGTCAATTAAATGCCAAAAAGAGTAGAGTAGCTTCTAAATAGAAATAGTTAAAAGTTGTTCCCTCAGTCCTAAAGTAAATTCACTAAATTGTGAAAAGTTGCATTGTATTGTTCATTTTTAGAATGCAACATCATGTATATTTAAAAACATTGCCAGATTAGTTATTGATAAGTAACTTGACGAAATTAAACTAAGAGTTGCATAGGCAAGTGGAAGGTATATGCTTGGTGTTGATTAGCTTCCTTTATAGTTGACGGCGATTATTTCATGGTCTGATTAATCTATGAGAAAATAGAAGTAATCGTCCCAGTGTGAATTTAAATAAGAGAGAGATCTTAGAATGCAGACAAATGAAATCTACAAAAATGATAACAGGATAGTAACTTTAGTTATACTACAATCTACAGATTTGTCCCATCCTAGAATCCATGTTATTGCATTTTTCTGTTTTAAAATAGTTGAGATTATGGGCTGCAATGTCAGTGGGCAATTACATATGTTTTCCACTTTCAATCATGCAGTTGTACTATTTTATGTGCAAAATTTAACTATATGCATATGGCTTAACATCAAAACAAAATCACCAGTACTTCATAATAATAAACTATAGTCACTTGCATTCAAGTTTGAATATTTTATTTGAGCTTAGTTTCGATACATTGATGGAGTAAACAAAGTGCATTATCATATTTAAAAATTTGTTTACAAATTATAAAACTAATGCATGTAATGACACAAAACTTTATATACTTTGAGGTTAAACAATCTAAACTTTATCCTCAAGATCTTCAATTTTATATAGTAAAGACCAAAAAATTTAGTATTAACGATCTATTATGCAGCTGATAGCTCACATGCGAGCATTCATTTCTGCAGGTAAAAACACATGTAAACAGTGAAACTTGAAAAATACACCCTCTCGTTATGCGAGGTAAATCACAATTCACAATTATAGACTTAAGCTGCAAGCTACTGCATGCAACACATGGAATCAATCATCTGTTAAGTTCAAGAAGACTTGTGTTAAATAAATAGCAGCACATGGCTTAATAATAATCAGTTGTGTAATTATTAATTATACAACTGATTAATAATAACCACTTGCACTCATTAATTTAGCTGCAAACACGTTATTTAGAGGTTACCAGAGTACCAGAGTTTTTTATTCTGGTGATAACTATATAGTCTGTACACAAATCAAATATACAAATATATTGGTATTTAACATGCAATAGATTCCATTCAAACAAGGTACAATTGTAGAGAAGTCAAAGCTATCTTTGGATCCAAAGTCTTGGGACCATATGTAGTTAAACAGATGCGAAAAATCCAAAGTATTTCTACTTGGAAGTTACACCAGTCAGATTACTAATCTGCTAAGGATATCATGTGCTCCCTCTCTATTTTGAACATGCATTCGGACAACAAAACTAAGACTAAGAGCAAGTATATTACCACCTATTCGTCGTCACCTAGTTATGAAACATGCATTCGGACAACTCTTGTAATTAGGTACAGTGGCCTAATCTTGTGATCTGATACATTTTGCTTGGTACATTAGGTTTACATGAGAAACATAATTATGCATACTATAAAGAATGCACAAGTCACACACATAAACTAAGGAAAAAGATACTTCAGTGCTACAAGAAATTTGAGATTCTCTCCCACAAGCACTCAATAACTATCCCATATTAGAAAAACAACCCAACAAGCAACAAAAAAAACAAGGTTGTCAAGATTGGAATCTTGCTCTAACACTGTTCTCCTGAGGGAGTTAGATCCCCTGCTGCAGGCCCAGATTTTGTGACTGTGAAGAGAGACTTCTATACTTTCCAACGCTATTTTGGCCATGGTTACAACTTACACTTTGATTTTCACTTGCATATATCAAGTGCTCTATACTGCAGCACACATCTACTCTTCAAGCAAGCAAACTATAACTTATCATAGGATCTACTTGGAAGATAGAACGCACAACTTCTATACAAAGACCTACGCAACTTGCACAAACAAAACCAATAAGCTCTAAACTGTACTTGTGAATTGATAGAGTAATAAACACCAAGGTTTAAAAAAATTGTCTGTAACTGCGAAAATGGTCACGGCAAAACGGTATTGGAAGATGCCAATACCGATACTGCTATTCACCAGTTTTTGTGATAAAGAACAAACTATGATTACTTCACACTGCAACGACCACAATCAGCATCGCAACACCTATACCGACCGAAATTGTGAAAGTATATCGGATCCATTTCGCAAAGTTAGAATATAAACCGACCAATTAAGATCGGACAGTTGTAACTGCAGGACAATCCGGACTGAAATGAATCTTATAAAGTGTCAGAGTTAGTTGTGCTATATTTGTTGAACTCAACCATGCTTCTCAACATAAAACAAGAACCATTGATACCAATTTATAAAAAGAATAAAAATAGAAACAAAATGAATGTATTATTATTATTATTATAGAGTAAAAGTGCATTGAATATGAAATTTACAATGTCTAGAATCACATCACATGATGAATTAAATGAATATACATACATAATAAAACCAGCCATTTACATTGGAGAGTACCTTGTTTGAATGAATTAACTAATCTGAGAATCATTAAAATCAGGAAAAGTAACACATTTGAACACCTTACACTTAGAACACAGTACATACCCAACCTGCAACAATTAATTACACTAATCAATTAAAAAAAATAAACAACTTGCATTTTTTTAATTAACTAATTAATCAACGATAATAACTAACTAACTAACAAACTCACGGCTTTGCATGAGGGGCACCGACGGTAGATACGGTTGTTCTGTGATTTAACATTAGTCTTCTGTCCTTGACAAAAATCACAAACTAACCATCCTCTTCCGTTACAAGCTTCACACATTATAGTTGCTTCTGATTCAGTATTTGAATTATCTACCTTGATACATTTTATCGTAATGCGAATGCGATGGGTTCTATATGGAGCAACAAGAAAGGTGCGATTGTGGGTGGAAATGGAAATTGAAGGGACGGTGAGAAGAAACGGTGTTAATGCAACGCCCATTCCGCTTCTATTCGACTGATGAAGATGAATGGGTTGAAGTGAGTGACATGTTCTTCCTTATCGTTTTCCAACCACTTCAACCTTAGTTTCTCATAAAATAACACATATGCCATTCTAATCACTTTTGTAAATTAGATAATTTATGTGGTTGCATGTATAATTCGTTAATTGATTTTCATGATAATAGTTGATGACGTCTGTCGAGTAGCTTTTTAATGGAGATAATTTCATTAGTTAAACGGCTTTTGAATATTAAGAGTTCTATGTGATAAATGATAAGGGAGGGTTGATATTAGTTATTCAATATTTTTTGATGATGGTATTTGATCAAGACAAAATTATATCAAGTCACGTCAGTTAGATGATTCAAAGATCGAGTTAAAGTATTAATCAATTATTGAATTGAGTAAAGGATATTGAAGTCTAAAAGTGAGAAAATGTGAAAGTTCACCTGATCCTGTGCTTACCGTCTTGAGTGATCAGTTTAATTGTAGTTTCTTTTGGATTGACTGCTTTTTGTAAAACAACAACATGGAAAAGTGTTCAAAGTGTTCAAGATTAATCCATTTTGCTTAAGTTGTATGGAAGTACAAAAGAGATACATGTTGGACACAATGTCCCAGCATGTTGGTCTGACATCTGAGCCTTACGCAACAGGTCATTGCTGCTGCATTTTGGAAGATTTTCTGGTCAAAGATTGTATCAGAATTTATTGCTATTGATTTAACAATATGATTAGGTGATTTGTTAGACAGTTGGAAGAAGATTAATTCAAATTTAAATGGAGATTTAAATTTGAATTCGAATTGTAACAAATCATATCTTGTTGTAGAGATTTATGGAACAGATAATATCCAACAAATTTTGCATTATTTCTGGGTGAAATCAAATCAAATATCCATGAAGAACCATAATAGTTATGCTATATAAGAAGCTCAAAATCTACATTGGTAAACACACATTCACATTGAGGATTTTAGAATGCTAGATTTATAAGACTCCTTGTTATTTTATGTACACCACATTATGTTTTAGTAACTTGGAATTGTTGTAGGCTTATCTAGTTGAGTTATAAATTCAACATCATTCATATTGTTGATTGAAGTTGATCACTAGGATTTAGTGATTGAAACATTAGGGGGTTAGTGTTTGAGAGAAAATAAAGTGAAAGGGTGTCTCATATTTAGGGGGAGTCCTAAATAGAAATCCATTGGATAGTTTTAGGAAGAGGCATTGAATAACATAATGTTCGTTGTTGCTTGTAAGACTAGGTGTACTAAACTACTAGTAGTGGATTTCCTTTCTTAGGTTGGAAGCCAACCCTCCAGACGTAGTTGTTGTTTGCATCGATTCGGATTACCAATTGGTTGTATTATTTATTGCTTTTCTGCTCTATAGTCATGTAGAGGTTAGATTGTGCTAATTATGGTGATTCTGGTTTAACTTGTTGAACCAGTTACCAAGACATCGCATTCAATATCTTTCCCATAAGGAACAAGATTTTCAATTGGCATCACAGCAGGAATCCTAGCCTGTTGGGTGAGCTCTGTGGAAGATAAATTCTACTCAAATGGACAACATCAAGGATGGAAGATCAGTCAACAAACCACCTGTTTTGGATGGTACACATTATGATTATTGGAAGGCTACGGTGGTTGTTTTTTTTCAAATTATTGGGAAACAAAGCATGGAAAGATATGATAAGATGGTGGAAACATCTAGTGGTTACTTCTGAAGATGGCATAACTAGCCTGAAACTAGAGGTTGATTGGACTAATGTTGAGATGATGAAGCACTTGTAAATTCTAAGGCTCTGAATGATATCCTCAATGGGGTGGACAAGAACATGTTAAAGTTGATCAACGCATGTTTAGAAGCTAAAGAAGCATGAAAGTTTCTCAATACTACACGTGAAGGCACGTCCAAAAATCATATGTCAAGGTTGTAACTCCTAATAACAATGTTTGAAAATCTGAGAATGAATGAAGAAACCTTTAACAACATGATGACTTACACTAATAAGTATATTGTTGAGAATGAGTTTAGTGATGAGGACTTAACTAACAAAGAGATAGTTGCGACTTATAGGCTATTGATCACCAACTAGGAAGAAGCCTGCATGGAAATTAAGAAACATGAGAAAACTATAAGTGATCTTTATGAAGAGAAGGAAAAGTTGGCTATTGCAGTCACAAGTATGGCATAGGAAAATTTTGTGTTAACAACCAAGTTGGAGAATATGGCAGAATTTATTAGGATGTTGAATAAATTCTATGACATGTCATATTGTGGAAGATAAAGAGAAGTCAAGGTTAAAGACTGGTGCTGAATTGCTAAAAGAAATCCAAGTAGAAGAGAAAAAGTCAATAAATTCAGTAGCTATAGGTTTTGACTATTGTCGTATGAACAATAGGGATCACATGCTCCAACATTGTCCTTGACATGTGCACCCCTACCATAGGGGCTACAAGAAATTTAGAAGAAGATGAGGTTCCTCCCCAACAGACTGATGTCCTAGTTAATGTCCCACACAAGGAGTCTGACATTGAGCCTGAGATCACCAATACTGATGATATTCAAATCAACAAGGGACCATCAATCAGAGTTCAGAAGGATCACCCCATTGAAAATATCATAGGAAATGGTAATGGATGAGTTATAACAAGATCCAGAGAAAGTATTTCCAACTCATGCTTTATCTTTAAGGTTGAGCCTAAGAATGTCAAGGAAGCATTGACTGATGAATTCTGGATAAATGATATGCAATAAGAACTTTGCCAATTTAAAAGAAATAAGGCATGAAAGTTAGTTCCTAGACCCGAAGATGTGAATGTTATTGGTACCAAGTGGATTTTCAAAAACAAATATAATGAAAGTGGTAATGTGGAAAGGAATAAGGCAAGGTTAGTTGCTCAAGGATACGATCTAATATAAGGAGTGTACTTTGATGAGACATATGCCCCCGTTGCAAGACTTGAATCCATTAGGTTATTGCTAGGTATTTCATGCATGATGAAATTCAGATTGTTTCAGTGGATGACAAAAGTGCCTTTCTGAATGGGTATCTTGATGAAGAAGTCTATGTAGAAAAACCAATGGGGGTTGAACGATCCCATCTTTCCAGATCATGTGTACAAATTAAATAAAGTTTTATATGATTTGAAACAAGCTCCAAGAGCTTGGTATGTGAGTTTAACTAAATTCTTGATTAATAACAGATACAATAGAGGGGGAATCGACAAAACTACAAAGAATGATAAAGGAAAGCTTATAATAACTCATACCTATGTGGATGATATAGTATTTGGTGGGATGTTAGACATGACGGTGGAACATTTTGTTCAACAAATGCAGTCTGAGTTTAAGATGAGTTTGGTAGGTGAACTCACTTACTTTCTTAGTCTTCAAGTTAAGCAAATGGAAGACAATATATTTGTATCTCAAAGCAAGTATGCTAAGAATATTATGAATAAGTTTTGTCTTTACGATGCAAGCCATAAGAGAACTCATGCTGCAACTCACTTGAAGTTGTCTAAGGATGAAAATGGAGTTGATATAGATCAAAGTCTCAACATAAGTATGATAGAAAGTTTGTTATACCTCATATCCAACAGATTTAATATCACATTTGTTGTCGGTGTTTGTGCTAGATATCTAGAAAAACCCAAGGCTAGTTATTGAAAGTGAGAAAAACACAAGAATGAGGTTGAATTATGTTGATTTTTCTTTTTTTTTTCTCTCTCTTATAAATCTCTTATAAGATTTTAATTACAAGGACATAATCCGAGTTAGAGTCTAATAATGATAGCAGCTGATAATATTGATAAAAAATAAATAAGAGACTGAGACACACAAGAAATTATCATGATTTTGTTTACAGTGATTTCTGGTAAACAACCGCTAGTCTTCCAAACTATCGAATAAACTTACTGACTGTTATCCAATTCCTCTGGTAACTCGCAGGATCGACTAGATTGATCCTAGGACGTGTTGGTCATTAGGGTAACTCTCATGATCGAACAGGTATTCATGGTTGGTATTTAGAATGTTGTGTAGGTGTTTGACTTATTTTGATTTCTCTCTTAAAGATCTAAAGGTGTAATCAAAATATATGTGCACGAAACTAAATTGCATGAATAAAGGTCAATTGTAAAGACATGTAAAAACTGCATAAAAGACAAGTAACTGACTTCGAAACGTAAAAAACACAGTTAATGTAAAAGATTCGAAATGAGAAGAAAGCGTTTAATGCAAGAAAACTGTAAAATGGCTTTAAGTGAAAAAAGGTGTTCGAAGGATAAAAACTTGAAGATAAAGGCATAAAATGTATAACAGTTTTTGAAATGTAAAGTATTTGAAATGGAAGGAAAGCAATTAAATGTAAGGCATTAGTGAAAATATTTCGAATAAAAAGACTTTAGATGCAAAAACTTGTAAATGGTATTGACATAAAGATAAGGAAAGTACTGGAAATGATAAAGGGTTTTCATTAAATCATAAACATGTGGTATTATCATACGTACATTGCTCTTGCATTCGTTTCCCTAGCCATGTGGTAATTTGAATGTTTACTGAGTTTTTTTGTACAATAGATATGACACACGAAATCCTAATGCTAAGACTTCTATTTATACTACTTCGACCATAACGGTCTTGCTATAAGATTCTGCCACGTTCAGAACATGCAGAGCAATGCCTCTCTCTTGCTTCCACGTGTCTTCGAATGCTCCAGCGCATATATTTCAAATTTCGAACATCCCGCTTGCATTTGAATTTCAAATGTTTTGGCACTTCTTCGCTTCGAACGCACTTCTTAGACACAACCTTGCTGTCATTTCGAGACTTCTTTGGATATATTCTCATAACTGTCACTCGAAGCTTCAAGCTCTGATATGCTTATTCGAAGCATTGCTTCTACTATTTCGAAACATGACGTTTTGTTTCATTTCGATCGAAACATTCCATTTACTTTGCTTCTAATAATATTATCAAAATCTTCA